AAAAAACAAAAATTTCAAAAAAAAAACTTTTAATTTGGACCATTTTTGAAGAAATTATGACCAAAAAACCAAAAAAAGACCGGTTTTTTTGAAAATTCGATATCTTTTGAACCTGTGATTCTAAAAATCTCAAAATTTACCCGAAAGGGTTTTTTGATGGGTACTAAAAAATATCAAAAAATTAGGCAAATCAAAAAAAAAAATTTTTGAAACTGTCCGACTTGGCGTGGAATGCCCCATATATATATATATATACAAGGTGTTCGAAAAGTGTGGAAACGGTCGAATATCTCGAGAAATACACATCGGATCAGAAATCTGAAAATATATGTATTCAATGTTTTCAAAAAAGCTATCTTTTGATATCTAACATAACCCCCCACCCCCACCCACTGTGGGTGAAAGAGAGGGTAAGTTTAAAATTTTAAATGGGAACCCCCATTTTTATTGCAGATTTCCCTTCTTCAGAAAAAGTTACATAAATTTTACCCATTACAAATATTTTTTTGATGACAGATGGCGCTGTAATCAGCGAAATTAAAAAATGTGTCTAAAACATTTAAAATATTTCGAGAAACACTCAACGGAGCCCTGGAGTTGGATGGGCGGATAACTTTTCGATTTTGATTTTTTCTTTTTCTGTCAAAGCCAATTACAACGACAGACAGAATACTGAATAAAAAAGATGGAAATTTTTAAGCAAATAGTTAGAAGAAAACAGAAGAAATATTAAACAATTAGTTAGAAGAACTTAAACTGGTATAAATAGATACACACATATGCAATATTAAAAAGATAAGTATGTATTTCCAATACAAATTTTGCTTGGAAACTTACATACATATGTATGAAAGTTCAAACACAGAAAGTTAATGTTTAGGCTGGAATTTTTACAATAAAATTATTGGGACTTTCATCATCTAATATATTTTCACTGCGGAGGGCTCTTTGCACAGAAAAACATTTCTAATGAATACATATGTATTATGTTGCATGGAACATTCATTGAACTCATTGTTACTGCAAATTTACTCGCCGGACGTAAAATTTTACTGAAGTGGATGGTAAAAATTTTTTTAATATTGTATTGTACCACAGTTACCATATTTTTAGGTTAAATTTTAAAAGAAAATTCTGTTCGTGTAGTTACCAAGTTAAATCCTTGAATTGATTTTTCGGAAAATTACAGAAGCATTCCATGTTGAAGCATTTCGGTTTTAGGATATATGGTGAGTGTGGGATCCGTGGCGGTTACGCTGAAATCATTAACATGGATCCGAAAGTGATGAAGGTGCTATTGAAGTCAATTTCTACGATATATCCTATTTAATCTCGGCCAGATTGTGTTGGACGTTGTGATGACTCCACCGCGATCGAATGAGCCATCGTTCGAACTATTCCAGAAGGAGAAGGAAAAAATCTTGCGTTCACTTGCAGAGAAATCGCAACTCATTGACGACATACTCAATAGTATTCCAGGATATAAGGTAACTATCCTTTCACGAAATAGGTAATGAAAGCTATTCGATATTTTTACAATATTTTTTTCCTTTCGAGGCGAATCCGCCGATGGGTGCGATGTACGCGTTTCCACGCTTCGAGCTGCCATCGAAGGCGATTGAGGCAGCGCGAGCGAAAGGCCAGGAACCAGACGTCTTCTACGCGTCCGAATTATTAGAGAATACTGGGATTTTAGTGCTCCCGGGTTCGTACTTCGGTCAAATACCTGGTACGAATCATTTCCGCACTATGATACTGCCGCAAAAGAAGAAAATCGGAACAATGCTCGAAACGCTGAAGCTATTCCACATCAAATTTCTTAAGAAATACAGTTAAATAATACATTTTCAGTTGAGAGAGGAAATTGACAAATTATGAAGAACAGGAATCATACAATGAGGAATGACATCCTACGGTTGTGCATATCCAAGTGAAAGTTTAATTTTTGAATATATTAAGAACGTAAAATATTTTTGTTATAATTCATAATTTATTGACCAGTACTCATTGTTGGTTCTTATTTTTAGATCATTTTAAGGTCGTCTTATGTAATGTCTTAAGAAACGGTGTCCTCTTTATTAGTTTGTAACGATGCACCCCCAAAAGGCATCGTTCCCGGCAATGCGAACATAATTACAGGCCGCGCGAGCT